AACAAAACACAAGGCAGAAAACAGAACCTGCCAGTTATTCTTTAGTCCTGCTTTGCTTTACTGCTTCACTAATAGTAGTCAGAAACCTCCAACATTGAAAATGAAGTTACCATTACTTGTACAATAATGGTTAACTATAAAATTATGGTTTTATAAGTGTACTTTTTCCTGCAGCTGGAATATGGGGAAGCATGATCATGCAGAAAGGAACTTACATAGCAAGGGTGTTTTTCTCCTTTTCAGTCATAAACTTAATGTCATTTTAAACAAACACATATAAATGTCTACACCTTTTAGTTTCAAGACAAAGTACTATTGGCAAACAGAAAGAAGTTAGAGATTTCTGCTCTTCAAACCAAGCACACAACAAATAGATCTTTTCTGCATTCATTGTAGCAGTTTTTTCAGCAAGGAAATAGGGTTTTTGGTTTCCTATAGCCAAGAGTTAAGACTTCAACTCCTCAGTAATCCATCGTTCAGCTTTGCTTGACTAGGTAGATAATATCACAGCTGATAGAGAACTTGACAGTAATGAAGTTGCTCTCTCCTAACAGCTGGCTGTATTCGTGCAAGTTCTCCACTTAGAACCAATCATGCCACAAGCTTCATGGATGTGACAATCCTCTTCTGAAATAGTGTCTCTAAAATTAGTTAGCTCTTTCAGAAAACCAAAGTCTCAAGTAGAAGAGAGGTGTAACAAAAGCCTGTTGTTGCAAAAGATAAAAAGAATTTTTCTGAAGCTGGAACACTTGCAAAGTATGTTCAAGGCCCCAGTCGTTAGTTGTTAATCTACATTATAGTGCTCCAAGTAATGACTGAATGAAATAAAGCAGTGGTCTGTATAAACCGGAAACAATTACGTACCACATTCAACCTGAAGGTAGAACATGATCAGCAGCTACAAGCTACATCAAGAGGTGTATTACAGAACTCTATTCAGTATGGAAACAAAAGTATTCTAGATCTGCAAAAGTTGAAGTCTGTGTGATTTTTTGTATTTTATCCCATGAAGGGACAGTGCGGCATCTTCTGCCTCCCATCTGGCAGGTTAGTATCAAGAGTCAAGGTTAGTACTGAACAACAAAAATAAAAAAAATACTGCAGCTATGGTTATTCAGAGTGAAAATGCTTTATTTTTTTCAACCAAGTTCAAACTCAAACTTGCAGCCAAGTTAATAGGCATTAACAAATTTTTTTGATGAAAGTTTTAAAGAGGGAAACTTTTTCACAATTGCTTGAAAATGAATAGTGTTAAATAGCCAGCCCTGTGTTTTATCTAGAATTTTCATCCTCCTCTCCCCAATTTTAACAATAGACATGGTATATTTAAACTAGAAGAGAAATAACATAATTAAGTGCTGAAGAATGAGCGCACGGAGGGAAGAAACTTGCATTTAGTCTTATTCTTAGACATTAAACAAGTCATTTAACTAATACAAAATCCATTTTAAAAAGTATAATGTAAGCACTAACCACAAGCATGCTCAGTCTGTTCTCTCAGTATCTGTAGCCTACAATGATTACTATGTGTAGGAAGGCAGGCTGAAGACAAAAGTTAAACAAAGCTGTCTGGCTTTTACCCAGGTTATTAAAAACAGCTTTCATTTTTTTTCCTCCTTTAATGCAGCCTGTTCAATCTAAAGTTCCTCACACAAGAACTAACTGCTTTCATATACTCAAGGATTTGCATTGTACAAAAGCTGGAAAAACTTCACACTGATAGCATGATTTGCATGGGTTTGTATTCTGAAATAGTTGACTATGAACCACCTGTTTCCCTTTGTACCAAAAAATTGGGTACAAAATAGAGCTGCAAATCTACACAACCAAACATTCAGTCCTCTGTAAAACTGGAAGATCTGGCAAGATGAACAAGCAAAATCAACCACTTGCTAGTTCCAAAAGGCAAGCTTTGCAAAAGATACTTCCAAGTTTCTACACACAAAAACATCCATCCTTTCAAGAAAAAACCCTATCCAAAGAACATACCTCAAACCAGAACTATAGAATCCATCTTCAAAACTTTTCTCTCTCAATGCAAAACACATAAAGACCTGTAACTCCAAACTTGCCTATTTCAGATACCATAAAATAAAAATACAGCCTGCTTTAAGATACATATGGTATAATGCAGTGGGGCTGCCATCACTCAACAAGTACTTTTGTCTTTTCCTACTCTCCAATCCCTCCTGCACCCCATGTGCTACAACTACAGCCTCTGATAACATGAAAGCAGACTGCAGAAAGACATCATTTTACCTCACTGCAGAAGGTAAAATCCTAGACGGCTGATGCTAATTTTTTATAATACCAGTAGCAATTTTTAAGAACTATTAAGTAGTCTGGAACTGCAGTACCTGTGTGATACAAAGCTGTTGCCCTGTTGAGTACTCTTTATTAAGAAACAGGTATAACTCCCTCAAAATGGAGCTATACATCATTAAGATGTGCTTGCTTCTTTGTGCCCAGCTAATTAATGGGGTAGCTTTTTCTGTCTCCACTCCTCAGTAAGCTATCAGCAATACCTAAACTTTGATTCTTATATTAATGGAATATTGGGGTTTTGTTAGCTCCACAGAAAAAGGCAGTATGCCAGAAGGCTTTTAAATTTCTGTTCAGAGGATTGTTAAGTCCTAGTTCACATTTAAAATAAAAACCCTTTCAGCAAAACAGCCTCAATATTCTTAGGGAACATGGAGGCCAAAAATGTACTGTTTTTTAAAGACATTCATTTCATCTCAAGAGATGTAATATGAAGAACAGCTTTGCAGAAGGCACCCTTTCATCCTCATGCACATGCATGCTTCTGTATCACAAGCACACACAGGAGAGAAAGGATTAATTCTTTCTGGATGTTTTGATACATCCAAGAAACAGCATTTTCAGAATGTATCACAAATATTAGCATTTATGCATGTGGTTGTTCGTAAACTTAATTCTTAGATTCACAGAGACAACTACATGGGTTTCAGAGTTACACAGCTATTAAGAATCCTGTCACCTTTGAGCAGATACCATACATACACATTCTATTACAGCAAAACTGACCCCTAGCCCTTTGAGAACTAAAGAGCATAACAAGCTAAGCCTGAATGACAGCATTAATAGTTTAAATTAGTTGAGATAATGACAGAAAAATAATAGACACCAACATCCTGTTTTTACAGACTAGTAGCTGCCTGAAAACAGTAAAAAATTTCATTTAAAATAAGGCACAGATACTAATTACTTAATATTTAATACTGTATTATTGATGCTGTCAAAATACAACTTTTGGCAGTTAAAAACATTATTTTATTAGATATTTCTCAATAACAATCCTCAAGTCAATCTTACCTTGCCACTAGAACAAAAGCACCATCCACAGTTACAATTTGTTAAATCCATGGCCACATGCAGAATTCATAAGCCCATATATTTACATCTACAATTAAGGTGGATTTTTGAATACTAGAGTAGTTCACTTTAATCAATGACAATGGTTACTTCTTATATTATCAGAAATAAATGGCCAGAAGTTACTTCATTTTGTTTATTAAAAACAGGAGAAAATAAGATCTGAGTTGCCATCACCTTTACAGTATTCTCCTTGAGTAATAATGTAAGGGTTGCAGCAATTGCTACCCAAATTATGTTACTTTTACATTTAAGTGCTCTACAGATCAATAAAATAAGATCATGATATTATAGTTCCTTTACATTTTTAATTGACAGCAAGAACATTTGAAAAGTAGCAAATTCTATCTCAAACTCTGAGTGTGAAGTATCTAATGGTACAGAACAATTCTAGCAAAAAGAATTTGGCTGTGTGTGTATCTCAAGATTGTCCCACAGTTCTCAGTTTGGGAATGTCCCAGGAACTTCCTTATTGCTAACTCTCCTGGGAAGTCCAAAACCTTTGGTCGTTTAAAGAATATTCAAATAACCAAAAGCACCAAGTTTTGATGACAGATTTTGAGTTGGCCTTCAGAAGTCAACAATAATGATATGTAAATTAAATACAAAATGAAGCAACGTGAGGCCTAAAACTGTGACCACTGAAAGAGTTTAAAATTAATTTAACCTGTAAAGCAAAAACCACTTGGAGCTATCAAAAGACTTTTCTCCTGCACATCAATAAAAGTGCATTGCTTAATTCTAGGTATGAAAACAACCCTTGTAAGTACTTTTTTTTTAAGGAAGTAGACTACTTGGTGATACATGCTGTGCATGTATATCTATAAATGAACAGCTGGCACTTTATAAGTTTTTATTGGAAAAGCATGCTTCCTAATCACAAAATTAAAAAGGCAAACCTAAAATCAAAACTCCCTCAGAGCTATTAAGCTATAGCTTTTAAATTAAAATAGTACAGGATAGCAATAGGACAGTGAAAGTTTATAGCTGTATCTTCAATGCTGTTGTTGGTATGAATTTGCCATAATTGATCAATCTAGAACTTGATTAATTTTGCAAAAGCTCTTTGTCAGTTTCTTAAAGGAGGTAGTATAAAAAGGGTGTGATTTGGATAACATGGCCTCATCTGGCTGTAAACATTTCAAACAGACATAAATATCTATGATAAAAATTACTGTGGAAGAGATTATTCTATAAATTGTTTTTATGAACTTGAAAAGAAAAAACAGTAGATACATTTAATATATTTACTTATTTGCATGTAGTTTAAATGATACAGAACAAGATTACTGTGTTAGAAATCCACATACAATATAAAAACTTTTGTTAGACATAAATTCACCATTCTGCTGACATTTGCAGTAACTGTTTATCCAAGCTTAGCGTCAGGTATTTATAATTTTTCATACATGAATCTTTGTATATGTGCAATATTTCATTAACTAAACAATGTGAAACCCTGACTTTTGTACTTTTTCTTCACAATCTGAACTTAATAGCTACTTGCATCTTAACACATTGGCTTTTTGAAACACTAGTAATTAAGGCATCTTTGCTGTATAGTTTCTCAATAGTGCAAACAAAAACTGTCTTTAATATTTTGATTAAAACATAGAAGTAACTGAATATTCCAAAGGGTTTAGGTTTTTTTGTGTTATTTTTTTGTTTTTTTATTATTGGAAGATTGTTGTGCATTTTGGAGTTCTCTTGTCAACAAAACATTTAAAAGCTCATAACGCTGATTGTTTTTGTTGGTTCCTTGTTACTGGTTCTGCTGTCTTGTCTTCAAAACAATGTAATTCATCTTTTTAATGCGATGTTGTAGTAAAATACAGTAGCTTTTAAATGAGAATCTAGTAACTGAGTGAATCCCAAATGCAGCAAAGGCATACAGTTTTCATAGTGCACTTTCACCTCACTGAAGTAAAAGTTGCTCCTACTAGACGTTTTTCCACTTCAATGTGAAGTAGATTGTTAGGATTGTTAGTGGTTTCATTAAACAGCTTGACAGTTCAGTTCTCTTCTGCCAGTATTTCTCAAAAGGCTTTCAGAAACAGTACGTATATTTCAGGGACGCTTTAGGGGATTGTTCCACCACATAAGCACAGAGTTTCCCAATCATGTCAGTGTAGCTGTAATAAATAAGCATTTACATCCTAGAAGGAAAAGAAAAAAAATAGACTGTTTGTCACACTACTTTTAGCTGTAACATCGACAATGTCTGAGGCAGGGCAGAATCACATCAGAATCATAATACAAGAATAATTATGTTTAGGCCAAATTTTCCAAGATTGCTTTAAATTAATGTATTTGTGTACTAAAAAGCCTGCAAAAGCAGTGGGATTGGTTTCCAAACCCATCCCTTCAGTCTGTTTTCCCTCTGCTCCCTGCATGCACAGGACAGGAAGTCATCAGTCATCATCACAAGATCATACATTTGAAACATTTATTAAGATTGATATTCCTTTGCTTCATCCCTCCAACATTCTTGTACTACTCCTTTTTTCTCCTGACTTGTTCATATGGCCTGGGTCACAAACATTAAGAAGTAGCCAAATGAACAGAAAGAGAACCCGAATCCAACAGAAACAACACTGGCAGGAACTGCTATGCTGATCTAACAGAAGAACTATATTACAAGCTCCTATTGCTCTAACAGTTGGGAGTTAGAACTCAGTTTTGCATCCCTGTTGACTGAAGCTCTGCAAGGAGTTTGTAATTACCCTTGTCAACAAAATTGAAGTTAGGAGTGCAAATCAGTCCCAGAAGAAAAAAATATGTTTGATACATCAAAACGACAAATTCTGTAGCAACAGAATTATAGATTCCACAAAGCTCCTTCAGATATAAGTGAAGCATGCCATCTCTCATAATCATAGAATCATTAAGGTAGGAAAACACATTCAAGATCACTGAGTCCAACCATAATCCAATTACCACAACCACTAAACCTGAAGTGCCACATCTAAGCACTGCTTGAACACCTCCAGGCATGGAGTCTCCACCACCTCCCTGGGCAGGCTGTTCCAATGCCTTACCACTCTTTCTGTCAATAAATTTTCCCTAATATGCAACCTAAACCTCCTCTGGCACAACTTAAACTCATTTCCTCTCATCCTATCACTAGTTAGCTGGGAGAAGAGACCAACACTGGCCTCTCTACAACCTCCCTTCTGGTAGCTGTAGAGAGCACTAAGATCTCCCCTAAGTCTTCTCCAGGCTAAACAACCACAGTTCCCTCAGCCACTCCTCGTACACGCCCTACAAACCCCTCAACAGCCTTGTTGCTCTTCTCTGGACAGAGAAGTTATTTTCAAGTTCATTCAAATCCTGCACATAATCAAGAGTCTGCTTTAAAGCCCTTCTCACTGTCTATCTTCCTCAGGTTCCTCCATGTGGAAAGGTTTCTTACTCAGCTTAACTCTTGATGCCCAACCTCAGAAAGTCGTTTGTAGAGATAAGTACCAGGAGCAGCAAATCACACATTTACCAGACACGCCCATTACATTACTCATACCACAACATACAGAGAAAGGCAAACAGGGATTCACTTCAGATGAAGACAATCTTCTGCTCTCCAAAACAATCATACTTTTCTAAGCATTAAGCCAGCAATAAGCTTTAGAATTTAGTATGTTGTCACTTGTCCCAGTCACCTGATTTACAAATGGTAACATTGCTGGGCTAAGATTCTCCAAACTACATAACATAACAATGGGTACAACAAATTCAGAGAAAGTACCTTTCCTTTCACAGTCTGCCTACTCACCTGGGCCCTTTTCTACATCAATTTTAAAGCCTATTACTATCAGCTGTTTTACTATTAAGGAAGTGCTTTCTCTGTAAAGAAAGAAAAGGGTAGTAAAAAAGTCATTGTTAGCATTCTAAACCACACTACTATTAGCACAGGGCACCTACTCCAGACTTCTGTAAAAACTGTGCAATGTACTGGAGCATTAGTGGAAAATGAAGTAAAAGTGTTTCTATCAGTGAACAGTTTAGTGGAAATAACATCAAATGAGAGGACTATTGTAAGTAATACAACCTTGTTCATTACTAACATAACTGGAACTGGATTACCTTAGCTATATTACCAGTATATCCAGGAACCAGAGTAAGATGATTCTCCTGTTCCCATAATCCACTTAATTGCTGTTTTAAAATATGAATATTTCTGAAAAAGAATAAACAACACTTTACAGCATATACACTACATTTCACTAGACTTTTGACTGAAACTCACGATTAATACTGCATATAGACTTAGCCTATGATAGATTGCCACAACATCTGAAAAATTTTGATCCAAATTCTACAGTATATGCATAACCCCTGGTATTGCTGTGTTCTACATGTATAACTCCAGTAAAAAAACCAAATCCATGACAATCATTAAAGCTTCCAAACACCACCCATATCTTAAGAACAGAAATTCTTGCAAGTACTTAAGCTTTTACTTTCAATTTATGAGTATAAATTTTTCTTTTGTGCTTCTAAGGATCAAAGTTAAAACAGATTGAGATGGAGTAAGTTAGAGAAACAAATTTCCCAGCACTATACTCACCCATCCTCTGCCTTTTCTGTATGTGCAGATAGTTCTGACCACCATCGTTTAATGACAGCTCGCAGCCAGTTTAAACCAACTATCACATATCTGTAACAACACATTTTATACATTATGTTTTTTACTCCCCCTCTAGCATCTGCAGGTCACCTAAAGTGTCAAGACGAATTGGTAAGCAACTTAGCAACACACCTTCTATTCTGGAAGAAAAACCCTAAACAAATCCACAAGTTTAATTATTTGCCTGTGTTTTCAATTTCAAAGTGGTAAACTGAAGCTCTTGTTGAAAAAGTATTAATTCTCCAGGTATTTTTTCTGAAAATTTTGACTTGATTTCATGTTATAAGAGCATCCTAAAACCCCCGTGCTATTCTGTTTTTATCTGCATAAGGGCAAAGCCAGCCCCTCTCTGGTCCTTAACCTTGCAGAAAAAAGTTTTTGCACCGCTGTTTTACTAAAGGTGAAAGGTTCACAGGAAAGTACTCCTTCAGGCAAGTGGTGCCCCAGAAAAGCAGAATTGGGAGAAGGAACAGGAGGAACAAGAGTCAGAGGACTAAACACTGCTAATTTCTAGGGCATTTCATAGCCATGAAAACATCCAAAACTGATACTTACTCTTCATATTTGCTTTTAAGCAGTGATTTCACTAAAGGCAAAAGATCAACACAGCAGCCAACTGAAACATATGGTTTTTCTTCCTGTAAACTTAAAAAACAAGATGTTTCAGAACTGCGTGAACATCAGCATGGTTTTTATAAATTCTTATCCCCCACTTCTTTTTGTCTGTACCTGTTTGTAAGCACGGGTAGGCAGTCTACTACTACTCCAAGATCCTGTATCCTGAAAATATTAAAATAAAAAATGTTACTAGTAGAGCACAGGTTGTAGTATATGCTTCCACTATGATTTAAAAAGTATAGCAACCTTACAACATTTAAAGAACCCTTAAAAATACTGCAGCATATTTTGGATTGCTACTGCTTTAAGAATGTAAGAGAGACACTCAGTTTACCTCACTAAGTAGGCTACCAGTTCACTTATACTTCTCCTTCTCCAAAAGGTTAAAGCTACATTCAGCCTCAGATTCCATTTTTTTTTCCCTGATAAAAAGATCGGGAGCCATAGTTTCATGGTCCTGAGAAACCTGTACATTTTTGAAAATATAAAGGAAGTTTACTACAAGTAGCCAGCAACACCACAATAAGCTGCTCTAATATAGCAATCTAGTATATGAAAATATACTTTCCTCCCTGTATGCTGATTAGTTTTAGAAATTTAGCTAACAATGCCTTAAAACCAAAAATTTCCCTTAGAAGGGGCCACAAATAGGCTAAGACTACTCTTCCCAAAAGATACAACAATAAGGTCTGTAGACTCTTAAAGGGAGGTATCTAAAAATTAAAGAGCATTCACAAGCATCAACCTGTAATTCTCACCAACTTCAATAATTTTACTTAGATGCTTATTAATTTTGACAATTTAGACACAAGTAAGTACATTATTCTGAACTTTGACTAAAAAGGTCAATTTCTTAAAAATCTTGTTCTCAGAATGATGTTTAGGTATTTTTTTAAATAGACCTTAGATTAGCATGAACACTACAGAGCTACCTTCATCTCATCTCTTAAAACAGTCTCACACTCATTTGCAGTCTGCGATATGGTCTTTAGTTTCTCAGAGGATGAATCTTCCCCAGACTTCATTTCTTCACCCTTCTTTTTGCAGTCTCTATACACTAGCTATTCTGCTGCTCCTTCCTTGAAACCACCACATTCACTAGAGTGCAAGAGGGACACAGGCCTCAACTGGTAAGAAACATACATGGTGACAGAAATGGAAACATCAACATGAAAGGAATTAAATGGCTTTCACTGTCACAAAACTCATTTCTTTTAAATACCTGACCTTTTAGCCAATTTCAGAAGCCCTGCAAGCATTAATGGGGTTCCATCAAACAATCTTAACAAAAAATACAGTCTTATAAAAACACTCAAGTTAGTTTCATACACACTAAGCTGATATTGCTATAGAAAAAATGGTCCTATCCTACCTCACCAGTTGATTCCCATCCACATACGTGCATGTGCCCATGCATTGTGCCAGACACTGAAACTTAACCAGGTCAGTAACAGTGTTCTCCTTTGGTGCTGGTATAATTTTGACCCAGACTAGGCTAGCAGATCTGAGCTTTTGTGCTGATACAAACACGGAGAAAACTGTCGCAATTACTACTGTTGGCAACTGCATCACTAAACTGGTAGATAAAGACTGTAAATCACAAGATCTGAGCTAATCTGTATTTTAGGAAAGTTAATCTCTTTGAAAACTTACACAAAAATACTACCAGGAATACTTTTAAGCTGAATTTTCTTTAAACTGTACTTACTTACCTCTGAAAAAAATCCGCTATACTTGGATGAAGGGCCTTCTGTTTGAGATGAGCCAGAGTCACTAGAATTTACTAATTGTGTACGACTGTCGTGAAGTTTTGCTGGCAGATTCCCTGCACAAGCCAGTTCATTTTCTTTATTTGCCATGTCACGGCCTCTAGATTTAGGGAACTGTTTCTTTCTGTAACAAGGCTTTGGAGTGTAACAATGAACTTTTCTTTTGCAATTTTTGAAAAGAGAGAGGGGACTGGTCACCGTTTTTCCAACTGTTATTCTGCAATAATAAAGAAGTATTTCAGTGAAGGTTGCTCTAACCCTAAGCAATACTTTGCACTACTCAGTTAAAATATATCATTAATTCAGCAGACAACTTGCAGGTTACTTAAAACATTTCACCCCTGAGACACATCTTCATGACATTTCACGTAACAGAAGTAAGAGCTACTACCAATATTTTTCTCCTGCTTTAAATAATGCAGACTCCTTATCATAGAAGTAGACACAAGAACTGAGTATTGTCAGTAAAATTAAGACCTGTCTTCCATTTATGTCTGCTTAAATGTCGTAACATAGTTAAACTGCTTCTTCCTCCCTACCCCCCCCCCTCACTTGAAACTCAGAATCTACACAGCACAGCCTTCCTACCTGTTTGTGTATGAAGCCAGATGTTTTGGAGATTTCTTACCCTGGGAGAAAGGCAATAGGGAAGAAAAAAAGTTGCATTAGTAAAATGACTCAAATACTCCCAGTTTGTCAAAAACAAGTCCTGCTTTGCCATGGCCTACATTTAGCACAGATTCCTTCCCTTCCACTGACTCTTCCTGCAATTAAAGCACAGCTATGTTAACCTTCCCATAATCTTAAAGTATTTCACAGTGACCTATAGATGGACTGGCTCTACCAGAGCTGTCTTTGGAACACCACAGTCAGCTGTAAACTCTGAATATCTTTGGAAAGAGGTGGCATTGTGACAGAGACAGACTCTTTAGTTATTAGCAAACTAAAAATTATGACTAATATAAAAAACCTACTAGAATCTGATGACTAAATTGCATTGATTGTCTCATGTACACATTTAAAGTCCCATAACAAAGCAGATGCTAGTATTTGAAAGATGACACCAGAACATTTCTCCAGCAAAGCACAACAAAAAAAAAAAAAGACTGCTGTAGACAAAATCAGCTTGCTTATCCTGAATTCATTTATATGAAATAGATTAGCACCCTTACATCCATTAGGCTGCATAGAACAGTGTTATCCTAGAGAAGCCACGAAATTCATTCAAGGTTGTGCCATACAGATTAACAAAACCTTTGTAAATTAAGCAACACAATTTTTAAGCTTAAATTGTAGACTTTGTTTCCTACAGCATTCTTGAATGTTTTAGAGTTACATGTAACAAAGATGCCACATTCTGGTCTACTTTTTTTTTTCATTATCAAACAAATTATTAAAAAACAGCACAAAGATGCTCAAGTTAGAAATACATATTTTCAAAATATCAGGTACTATGCTTATATGCTGTGGGCATTTAAACTTGAAAATTTATACCACTGTTAACATTTACATTGTGCACATCAGCAAAACAATGCTATGCTTTGTTAACACTGAGTCATAAAATCATGCGGGTTTTAATATATTATTTCAATAAGCAGACAGATATAGAGGATATTGGCATCTTCACTACTGTCTGAAGCTATCTTACAGTACATTTACCTCCCCAGTGCTTCCTCCATTCTCCAGTGCCTTATTCTTCAGCCAGTAACACAGATAAGTAGGTAAGAAATTGACAAAACATTTCTGACTAGCAAGAATCCAAAGTATATGTGTTATTAGACAATGCGACACATCAAGCTGAATGACAGCAAAATGACAGGTCCATTCCAATGCAGGTTATTTCACCTATCCCACCTCTCACCTGTGTCATGTAGCTCTTTTGCCAAGAAAAAAATTTTGATTACAGAATTTATCTACTGAAACAGCTCTTGGCTGGACTGCAGAAAAGCAGGCATGAATAAAACCCTACCAGTACCTACTGCTCACATTGATGATACAGTGCATTTATCTGTGCAGTCACTACTTGTACATAGGTTTGTTTCATCATGTAATTGCTGTTCAAGCTGAAGTTCTTTACCATAAGAACAGTTAGACATTGGAATAATCTCCCAAGGGAAATGGTGGATTCCCCTATACTGGACAGTTTTAAGACTCAGCTTGACAGGGTGCTGGACTGTCTCATTTAAACCATATTATTACCTAGAAAGGTTGGACCACATGATTCTTGAGGTCCCTTCCAACCTGGCATTCTATGATTCTATGATTTAACCACAAAATACTGTGCTTCCAGTTTAAACTGCTCAGAACTATGAACTTGTTTGAATGTTTACTTCAGTTTCATCAGAGGACATAAAAACCAAAAAAACCCCACAAACCCAAATCTTACCTCCTTCATGATCTTTTTAGTTGAAGAAGAGATTCTTTTTCTGGGGAGATCAATGGGATGACCTTCAATATGCAACACTTTCTGTTTTCTAACATTGTGGGCTTCAGATGCCATAATCTCTCAAATCCCTGTTTTCAAGGGAAAGACATTTAGTTATATTGTCTAAAATGTTCTGTCAACTTTCTTCAAATGCAGCTGGTAGAATTCTTTAAGAGTTCAACTATTTGCAAGATGTTCCACCATACAAATAATCCAAGACATCATCCTCTAGCAAATGTTAGCTGGAGGCCTTATTAGCAACGTGCTGATAAACACTTCAAACCCCCTATTTAGATTTCTAAAACAAGGGAACAAAAACAAGCTCCCTCCAAGAAACAGGCAGAGATCTTGTTTTCAGACCAGCTTAGCACACCTGAACTCAGGGGTGCCATACAGACAAGAATTCAAGTAAAGAAGAAGGCAATTTATGAGACTCTCTCCTCCAAAATAAAAAGAATCCCCATTTCAGAAAGAAGGCAAACTTCATCAAAACAGCACAGGTTACAAAAATGGAAGTAAAAAATCTCCCCTTCATTTATTGGCAAATAGATCCCCCACCCATTTTTTTCAGCATAAAAGTTTGGGTACTTTTCATGTTATTAAAAAAACAACTTTATTCCACATTTAACCAATAAGAAAACATCTGAAGTATTCCGTCTTGAAGAAGGCATAAGAATAAAAATTAAAAATTGAGACAATTGTACATATGGTTTATTTTCTGCAAGTGATTCAGAAAATTTATTGCTTGAGACTGGATTAAAAAACTGCATCATCATGGGGCACTATTCTTAAAATGTTTTAGCAGGACATTCTATCTTAACTTTGAAAATCAACCATTTGTTCTAATTTTATTGTTTTTCCCCTAAATGGCAAAACTCTGGTCTCAACATAGGTGCTTCAATATCTCTCCTCCACCTTTATTACCAATAGTCCTATCCCCATAGCACTGAAAAAGCCAGATGGAAAACAGCTTATTAGCCACAGATGAGCTTTCATGGCATCAGCTAAAGACCATAAAAATATACCAAAGAGGTGGAGGGCTCAAAACAAAGTAGAAGATGCATTCTTCACATGATGCATAGTAAATTCTGTATTGTAGGATACAGTGGAAAAAAACAAACAACCAACCTTCAAGTGCTTCAGTCTTCTTTAAAACAGGATCAGTATTAAACCTCGTTTGAGATCTCTCTCAGAAAAAGGAAGATTTACTAACAGAAACATCGACTTTGGCAAGGATTGTAAATGGCAGCAGTTTACAGCAAGACTTTTAACAGTTTTTTTGCATCCCCTGTTTAAGCATATTGCTGAGGGGAAAACAATAAACCCCAAAACAGGGAGGATAATCTGCAATAATTAGGGCAGAATCATCCTGTGAGATGCTAAGAAACCCCATAACCTCTGTTCCTGTAGAATCATTTTTCCAAGTAGTCCTGTGACACACTGACAGCTTACAACTCTTCATGCAGAACAGTGACCTCTCGTTACTTGCTTAATACACAAACAACCCTCCTTCTTCAGGCTAAGCAGGAAGCAAGAATCTGATCTCCAACACATAAGACAGCACTATTCAACTAGAATGCTTTTTACTTAATAGAAGAGTCAAATATCACAAGGCTAGAATGAATGTCTTACCAAGGAAATTCACCTAGCACATGCATCAGTGTTTAATGCTGGGCTGTAAAGAGCCTAAAATAACATCTCAAAATACCTGAACTAGGTGATCCTGCTCGGGCAGGGAGGTTGGACTAGATAATCTTTCAAGGTCACTTCCAACCCCTTACATTCTGTGATTCTGTATGTGAAGTGATTATCTTGGAGGCAGAGAAGTTCTCTACAAAAAGGTGAATATTTCCAACAGAAAAACAGAATATTAACACACTTTGATAACTTTGACATAAGAAAATAATGCCTTCTAGCCTCCCAGTTGAAACAGGAAAAGACAAGAACTATCATTTTTTTCCTTAAACACTGGGAACAGAAATCCAAAAGGCCAACAGATGATCAGATATAAACAAACATCTGATAGTGTTAAATAAATGTGAGGTAAAATCCCTACATCACTGTTCACTCTCCTACAGTTTAGAGACATTTCCATAGCTTAATCTTTTTTGTGAGGGTCTCTGATGATGGAGAAACAGCAGTGAACATATAAGCAGTAATGAAATAAGACATGTTGTTAACCAGAGTGCAGAACCTCTCCCTCACTGCTGACAAAGCACCTAAAGAAATCACATGTAAAAAATGCAGTCAGTATTAGCCTCAGTGAAGAGCCAGACTGACATCTTCGTTGTGCAAATTGGTAAACAATGTAATTCATAATACAATTAGTGGACACAAACAAAGAAAATATTGGAAAAGATTCAACCTGGCTGTTGTGGAAGCAAGTCCTGCACTTCAAAATTAATGGAACTCGTTGAGACTATATAGCAGTACAACATGGATAAAGGACAGGTAAATTATACGAGTCTACCCGAGCTTCCAAAAAGCTTCCAGAGGTCCCCTCACTTAAATCTCTTCAGGAAGCTAAGCAACCAAGTGATAATAGGGAAAGTTTTTATAGGGAAGAGTTGGCAAAGAAAATGTCATAACCTAAGCAGTTTCCACACTGAAGAAGGCCACCCCAGAAATCCCACAGAAAATCTGTGCTGGATTATGCTGTTTGATATATTCATAGATTACTTCACAAAGGGGATGATAAGTAGTATTTCAATGAGGAAGACTGTGAACAATATAAAGTTATACCAAGAATTGAGGATGAGGGTTAACTGAAGAATAAGAGAAGGACTGATGTACAATAAGCAGAAGCAAAGACTACAGATTAACATAAAGTAAAGCCTGTTTTCTGCAGGCATGAGGAAATGTTGAGTTCCTGTATAGAACTACAGCTCCAAGATAATAATTGCCACTCACAACAAGATCTGGATAGATGATAGTTTACGTCAGATAATTTTGACTGCACAGTGCTCCATATGGATCAATAAACAGAAAAATAAACAGAACACTGTTGTGACAGTGTGTAGAACTAATTTGTGTCTGTATTTCAAATGCCGAGTGCAAGTTTAGTCCTCTTCCCTTAAAAAAATAAATGAAACACCAAAACAACAACAAAAACACAAGAATCAAAAGACTTCTAAGTGCAGAAGAGCTCAGACAAAGACAAGTTAAAAAATGTACGGCATACCTTCCATGAAATCAACAGCTAAATAGATCAGGCCTTTTCAGTCCAGAAAGGAGGCCACTTAGAGGGCAAATAAGATAAAGGCCTACAAAATTAAGATCTTGGAAAAGTAGCATAGATTGTTCACTGTCTTACCCAATGTAAGAATGAAGGGTCAAAAGACACTAGCTGAAGGCAGGTTCAAATCTAATAGAAGGGACTAGTGCTTTGTATATTATAGTCAATCTGTGCTTGCCACAGGATGTTGTGCATCCAAATGTTTACATGGGCTTCAGGTAGGCTGTGCAAATTAATGAAAAAATAAATACATCAGAAGTGATTAAATACAGAAACATAATCCAGGTAGCCCAGAGACACAGAACACAAGCAGAAGAATCTAGTACTGTCAAGCCTAATATGGTTATAACAAACTTATTCCACATCTCAAGAAATCTGCTTCCAAAAGCTTAGTAACATGATAAAATGCTGACCAGAAATAAAAAAGATTAATGTTAAGAGGATGAAAGGCATTTTACAGGTGTCTCTACAACTTTCAGTTCCTATCTAGGGTTAACTAATTAGACACTACCACCCACTGTTAATCTGGCATATATATGCAGGATTTTTAAACAGGCATTAGACAGTAATTTGTATAAGATTGAACAATCTATATACCATAACGTCTTGATTTTGACTATCCTCTTGCAACGAGCACAGATAGTTTCTGTTTGCTTAGAACAATCTCTTATACCATCTAAGGCAAATGCAACTCCTTTCCTTTACAGTTTAAAAAAATACGCTAAGGATAGAACGCATGTCCCTTCTGCTCTGCCTTAGCCCTTTATCGTACAAATCTAAACTATTTCACAGCTGTAACAGAGCAGACTGCAAATCTGAACAGAGATGCACAATTTCATTAATACGAGAGGCTCGCTTTCCACCAATTTCCCCTGTCCCATGGATGACTTCACATAGCAGATACCAACCCTCTTTTACTCTCCTAAATTTTCAGGACAAAGAAGGACTAGAGTAGCAGCATTCATATATCCTGGAAAATCAGCACATTTGTCCCCACAGCCAATAAACAGTACCCATGCAAACTTTTCTTGAAGGCTCTACTGCTATTTTCTAATTCTCCTAAATGCAATACAACTCTTCAAGTCATACTAGAGTCAAGCAAAGCCAGTGAGAACTAACAGGCTTTCAAGTGCAATTCTATCAAAGGCAAGTATTAACAACTCTGCCACTCCCTACCATCATCCTATGTTCTGGGCATGGCCCCCAAAGAGGGACAAACATTTCTTCGCATATTATGTAATCTACACATGTATTAACATAACATTTATTTCTTACAGAACACAAAATGGAGTACTTGGCATGACAGCAAAACAAATGCTAGATTTCCTAAGTCATCACCAATACCCTTAAAAACCCCACATTGCTCTTATCCTTTCCTCTGCCCAAATTCTTAACAGAATTTCCCAGTTAGTTAGTACACTAACCACGGCAGATGTTCCTGTGTTCCCCCACCCCATAATATTAAATCAAGTGCAAATTCAAGGATAAACTCAGATGAAAGAGTTAATTATTACTCCTGAAGGACTATTACTACTTTGAAAGCATCCAAATAGGGAACCAATGATGGTCAACTAAGTTCACTAGTCATTAGCAGTTTTAAAATTCTGATGAGAAAGTTCCAAGACTAGATACTCGAAAAAGGGTGATTTGTCTACAATATTAAATCAGCACTTATCATGTAGAAGTGATGCTGTAAGCTTGGTATAATTTCATTATAACTCTGACAAATGTTACTGAATCCATCTGTCTCTCAGTTTTAGATGGCTTACACATCCTTTCAATATGAAGTAGGTGCTTTTTAAAAAACTGCTTGTATAGTAATCTATGCCCTGACAGTTCA